ACTGTTTCTATTCCTAATATCAAGTCTATGATTTCCCCTGCCCTAGTCTCTTGTTCGCCAACCCAAAAAATGTGTGGTTCAACATTGAATCTAATCAAAGCAAACAGTACCACAACATTTGTGTGTTGGCACACAAGAGACTAGGGCATGCGAAGTCATAGACTTAGTATTAGGGATAGAAACAGGATAGACACGGCAGAGAATGGAGCTAGTGGCTGACAATAAAGTCTACCAGAGACGTGGTCCATGCAGCAAAGACGTGACCATGAGATTTACTCAGTGGGTTTAGCCTCGAATTAGTCGCTCAAACGCAGAGTGTGCGAAATAGCGCCTCGAGTAGGACAGATGGGGTGGCAGAGGTCGATTGAAATACTTAAACCAGGGCGATAGCAAACGGATTCTACGAGGCATAAAGGAGACTCTGATGAGACAGTTAAGGCAGATTCTGATCAACATTCCAAGCACAAGTGTGAAGAGGGGGAGAGAACGCCAGGCCCACCACACTAACTCGAAATAAGCACAGTACAAATTGTAATAGTGAAGGTGTGATGCGAAAATATAGGAAATTTGAAGGGGCATAAGGGCACATAGCACAACTGTTTAGCACACGTTTGGCCAAAGGATTAGCTTCATTTGTCTCTTTTGACGAATTGTAGTATGATGCTAAGAGTGGCAAAACACACTGACGGTGCCGGCGAAACGTCTGGAAATGTACCACGATCACAGTCCGACTTGGGAAATGATCATGCATACAATGGACTTCAGACTAGGTGTGTTACTCTAAGTCTTTCTACCAATAGGACCAAGTTGTGAAAACAAGGTCAACCAACCTCTAAAAAATATGATTTCTGAAAATCTTTTGTATGAATATATTGAAAATAAAATATTATATCTGAAAAACCAAATTAATATAGTATGTATTATCTTATCTAACAGGATAAACTACATTAAAATAATTTAATTCATACGTATGCATGAAGAAACATTAAACTTAAGTTAAAATGCAGGAACTCATGTTGCATTTAAGATTAGTTGAAAAAATAAAATGGCCATTTTAACTATCGCCTATTTATGAGTTTGTTTACAGCATCAATTATAATAAAATTATCCAATTATTAATTAATAATAATAATAAATCATAAGTTATTGAGAGGGCCATTCTGTACACATAGTGACTCGAGAAAATTGTTGCTATGAAATAAATTATACTTGCTTGTTTGTCAAAGGGAAACCAAAGTATATCTATGCTGCACGTTGAGCGGAAAAGACCTGGAGGCGTCCAACTAACACTACCATCGTGAGAAACTTGCATATTAACAGGAAATGTACGGTCGAATTTTTCATCAGCGCTTAGACAGAACAAATAAAAGGTTTGAAAATTTTAGAGCTAAGACTGGCAATTCTGTTACAAAATAATAGAAGGTGTAGAATATAGACTCACTCTAGGAATTAAACAACTTCTTAAATCTTCATAATTCACTTATTATAACTTATAAAGAATTGCCCTTAAAACTAATTAAAACATATTTTGGGTTTAAAAATGGTAACACGTGAAATATTAATAATTCAAGAGATGAACTATTTTTTATTTGAGTAACAAAAACTATAGCAAGTTTATCGATAAAGGTCAGTAAAATTCATTATAACTTCAAATTTCCCTAAATCTAGGTATGCGAATACTCATTACTCCAAAAAATGAAAAAAATCTAATCATGGCTAGAAGTTGTTTGAATTTGGTTTCGCAACTTGTTCATGTTAGCAGGTAGGCCTAGAGAAATGCACCTTCTCTTGAGTCAATAGTATGCATGACAATTTCCAGAGTCGGACTGTTGACTTGGTACATTTACAGACGTTTCGCCGGCATCGTAGTCAACAGCATAAATGAGTATTGCCATTCTGAGCAGACGAGCTACAACTCATCAAAGAGACAAGTGAAGCCAATCCCTTAATTAACTTTCTGTCGAGATGGTTATGCTATGAATCCTCGTTTTGTCCTCGTCCCTCTAAATTTTCTTCCCTATCACAATGTCTGGCATGTTTATATTCCACAAGAGATATGCCTTTTTGGCGAATCTACCGTTGCGTCATCACACTTGCTGCTTGCCTTGCTTCCCTCCCATTCGAGTGGCTAATCCCACTCTAGCCTCCTGTCCGGATCTGCCTCATCTGCCCGTAGGTCCGTTCCTTATCTTTCCGGTTGACCGATTTCACTCGGTTCCAGCCTCAGTGCTATTTCTCAAGCCTTCAGCAGCACGTACAAAGTCACCATATTTTCAGAGCTCATAGGATCTGATTCCCATACCTTTACTCATCCTCTCCTCGACTAAGCCCCTGTACCCTAAGCAAACTGTGGACATTCATCTCTGGTCGCCTGCCACATCTCAAGTGGATTATTAGCCAATTTGGTCAAAATGCCCGATTTATGTGGCACAATCCTTCTCCCTGGTTCCCAAATTGTAGTTGTCTATTTGAGCTGACTACTCTCACTGAAAACGTCTTCGCTTCATTTCTGAAACATCCTCACCCTCTTCTTATTTGCGATCCATTTTCCTCTGATTTACGATAGATCATTGATCACGGCGTCTCCTTTTTGCTTGTTTTCTTGCATCCCTGTTTTCTCTGAGTTTGATTAGGCGATAGACAAAGTTATCCCTGACTCTACATTCTTTTAATCTCCTGTTCATTAAATTTTTTACCCCAAGAATTTAAATGGCCTCCTTAACTTCCATTTCTTTCGGCTTTCGCTGTATGAAACTCTTTTTTCTGTTGCCTTTCAATTGATCTCGTGTCCAGTTTCTGCGAGTATGTTCCGCTATATCTGATCTTCCGGTATCTATTTTCCTGCAGAGCCGTTAATGTTCCTTGATTCGGATGCTGATTTTACTCCCAGTTTCGCTAACATATTTCTGTTCGCAGGCCTTGTACACTATGTAGTAAGCTCCCGAGAAATCCAATTTGTCTACCCTCTCCTGTTGTGTTGGTAAACATTTGAAGTGTTATTTTTTCATTTGTGGTCACCTGAATACCCTATTTTTCCTAGATTGGCCGCAGTTGTTGAGCTAGTTCACAGGAAGGGAGACGCATCCACTCTTGTGAGTCTTCAACTTTCTTTTATGATCCATGTCCTGTAATCGTCTCTTCGCGGCAAGTATGTTTCTTGTATTACTCTTCTCAGGTATCCGTTACGAAAAATCAATTTTTCCAATGCTTCATCCCAGAATTTCACGTCCGTCAATCGTAGGCTTCTGATGATCCTACTCCTCAGTATGCCTATCTTCATTCTGTGGTTGTGATGAGATTCAAAATTGAGTATAATTTCGGTATATGACTGCTCTCGCAGCAATTTCCTCTTAAGTGACTCAGTAGAGCGAATCAACTCCACACCTAGTAAAGCAAAACGCCCTTCATTCTCTACAACCATTGCGAAATTGATTATTTCATAAATCTTCCAACTTTTCTCTTTCATACAACCGTATTGCAAAAGTAATCATCCAGGTACCGTATAAGAACTCGTTGTTACTTCGGTGACGTTTTCAGATTCTTTTATAATTTGTTCATATATACATTTGACAATAGGCGTGAGAGAGGTGATGCTATAAGAAGTCCGAATGTCTGTTAATAGATGTTGCCATTAAACGTGAAGTAGTTAGTACTCATTTTCACGTTGATTAATCGTGTTAACGACTCCCTATTGCTACTCTCTACTTCTAGGATATCGTCTTCTCAATCGAAAATGTCTAAAAGGGCTTCAGCGCCTATTCTCCAGAAATTTTTGTGTACATAGTTTGTGCATCAAATCTTACCAGTAATTCTGTTTCTTCTAGTCTTCTGTTTTTGATCCTCTGAGAAAGTTCATATGAGTGCTTCACTCTGTTTGCTAATCTGTCGTTCACCTTCTTGAGTCTCAGGCATATGAACTTGGCTAATTTAGGTGCTGCTCCAAACTTGTTGTTAACTTTCAGCCTTAGTGGTTCTCCTTCTTTGTGTAACTTCGGTAACCCGTAGGCTGCTGGTGATCTTGCACCCTTTTTCATTAGTGAATTTATTGTCCATTTATTCAGATAACCCCTACTTAATGCCATACATCCTTATCTTAATTAATTATCCTAAATTGATGTAAAATAATTAAGTATCATTTGGATAATTAGAAAGCTCATAAGAATAGTATATTTTCTTTTCAATAAAAACAGGAGTTAGAAAATATAAGCACATAAAATAATCAAAAATGGACAATTTTGGCTTGATATATTACGTAATTACTTAAGTTAACATAGAAGTATTCTGAAGATTTTATGCCAAAATTGTAAGAAAAATAATTTACGTAAAACACTTCATACAAAAATATGATTCTGCCTGATAAAAGTGCATATACGATACTTATATATAATTTCCATATATACCTATTATACAACAGAACATCTGGTTTCCATAGCTCCGAATAGGGAACATTTAGTGTCGTTATATTATTGTATTCCTGCGGATCCCATTTGAAATGATAATCAGTCCAATCCTAGAAAAATAAAAAGTAAACAATCCCAAATAGTTTATACTGTTTTTTAATGATGAAAAATCAGTAATGTTTTGAATTTATTTTCATTACTAAGAAGTCAACACAGGTATAGCAACTAAAAGGCCAGGGGGCAAATGGATGAATTTAGCATTCATAAATATAAATTAATGTTATTAATTGATTTTTTAAATTAATTACGTGATTAAATGATTTATTTTGCATGTAATTTTCTAAATACTCTATTTCTGGTTAAATGCCACTAAAACTAATCAAGGCGTTATAAATACTTATACTAAAGCATCCGTCTGAACACTGACTATATTCTATATTATATGGTTTGATATGTATTGAAACCAGTCTTTGACAATGGGGAATTTAATAAATTTACCAGAATCATTTAATCATAAAACCTTTAAGATAAAATTAAATCTTTAACTAATTCTAAGTGGTCAATGGATGGTTGCAAAATATGATCAAATTTACTAAATAAACTTAATTAAATTATAAAATAATGAATATAGCTCATAATTATTGGAAATAGCTTCTTTTATAATGAGGCACTAAAACAGAACCTATCCCAAACATCCATTTTTATTGGAAAAGACAGATCAAGTTAACAGAATATACTTATCGATATTGCCGAGTTTTTAAAAAATCCAAGTTCGAGTGAACTTGCAAAGGAACATAAATACCGAAAATTGGACAAATATATTCGATTAGGAGAATTTGCATCTTAGATTCTTTTGCTATTTTGATCAAGATAGTTTAAATTTTCCTACAAAGGAAAAGTGCATCCTACTTTAATAGATGATTAACCTGCTATACATGCCTATTCACTCTTAACTCAAAGCACCTATCTTAAATTACTTTGTCGTGTACTCCATAAGGATTATTTAAAATAGACGAATTGTAATAATTAATGCCAATTTTAGTCCAAACTATTTTTATCCGTGATATCAATGTCAATAAAAAATATTTTAGCATAATATTTATATGCTTATGCCATTTTATGATTTCACCCTTTCTTAAAATATATATTCGGAATTCCTCCCGAATGGATTTAAACCCTTGTCACATTACACTTAGCCTTAAATGACTTAAATAATTTTATTTTGCCGAACTAGCCAAAGGTTGGGCGATGTAAAGGACAGGATTATGGATCTATCGTGAGAGC